CTCTCTCTCCCTCTCCCTTTCTCTCTCTCTTTCACCCTCTCTCTCTCCCCTTCTCTCTCGTTCTCTCTTGTTCTCTCTCTCCCTCACTCCCTCTCTCCTTTCTCTCTCTATCTCTATCCCTCTCTCTCCCACTCCCTTCTCTCTCTCACTCTCTATCTATCTCTCTCCCTCTTTCTCTCTCTCTCTCTCTCTATGTCTCTATCTCTATCTCTCTTCCCCCTCTCTCTTTGTAGAAATTTAAGAAAAAATATTTACTTTATTTCCACTATATTTTTGGTGTTACAAATGACTCATATATATACAATCATTCGTAAGTACAAGTAAGAAAATTTTCCTTATAATATGGATTCTGAATAATTATAAAAAATTAATAGTAAGAGTTATATAGGAAAAAATACCATATTATTTAGGCAACTAAATATTCATGTCAACACTTCCCCTCAAGTTAGTTCGAAGATATCACACATGCCCAACTTGCATATCAAGTTCTAAAAAGTTTTGTTGCAAAGTCCCTCAGTGAAGATATCTGTCACTTGATTGCTACAAGATACATGTTATAAGCATAAGGAGCCATCAAACACTTTTTCTTTTATGAAGTGATGGTCAATCTCAATGTGTTTCGTCAGTTCATTTTGAACTGGATTTTGTGTAATACTAATGATTGTTTTATTATCACAAAGTAATGATAGACTTCCTTCTTTAAGTAATTTTAATTCATTCATTAGCTTTTGCAACTATAATAATTCACATACCCATTGAGTCATTACTCTATATTCTGCTTTAACACTAAAATGGGCAACCACACTCTACTTCTTGCTTTTCCATGTAACCAAGTTGCCATCAACGAATGTACAGTAACCATTAGTTGACCTTTTATCATCTGAAGATCCATCCCAATTGATATCTATAAATGCTTATATCTTAAGGTGACTATTTTTGAAGAAGAGTAAACCTTTTTTTGATGCAGATTTCAGATACTGTAATATTCAAAAGACAGCATGTAAATGAGTTTCACGAGAATCATGCATGTACTGACTCATCAGACAAATTGGATAAGTTATATCTGGTCTGGTATGTGAGAGATAAATGAGTCTTCCAACCAATCTCTAATATCTTCTCATATCAACTGATGTACCACTGCCAGTTTGTAGTGTGCGATTACTTTCAATAGGGGATTCTACTGGCTTGCATCTTCCAACCAATCTCTAATATCTTTCCATGTCAACTGATGTACCACTGCCAGTTTGTAGTGTGCGATTAATAGGGGATTCTACTGGCTTGCAATCCATCATTCCAATCTCTTCTAATAAGTTTAAAATATACTTTCTTTAAGAATGAAAATTTCTTTATTAGATTTGTCAACCTCAATTCTCAAGAAGTACTGCAATTTTTCTAAATCTTCAATTTCAAATTCTCGAGTAAGAAGTCCCTTTAGTCGAGTCATCTCTTTTGTATCATTTTCAGTCACTACAATATTATTTTACATAAACAATGAGAAGAGTGATCCTACCCTCACAATGCTTGATGAACAGAGTATGATCAACATTGCTTTGCTGATATTCAAAAGAGATCATAACTCTTCTGAACCTTTCAAACTATGCTCTTGTAGATTGTTTTAATCCATACAATGTCTTCTTTAATTTGCAGACCTTTTCGTATGTTCTTTCATCTCCGAATCCAAGTGAAATTTTCATATATACCTCTTCCTCTAAGTTTCCATAGAGGAAGACATTTTTTACATTAAACTGGTGTAAATCTCAATCAAGATTAGCAACATAGGATAGTAATATTCTGATTGTGGTCATTTTTACGACAGGTGCGAAAGTTCCTTGATAGTCAATTTCATGGGTCTGAGTATACTGTTTAGCCACTAATCTAGTTTTGTATCTTTCAATCGACCCATTTACTTTTTTGTATTCTACAGTGAACACCAATTTACAACTAACCATCTTTTTTTCTTGTGGGGTTGAAACAAGTTCTCATGTTTCATTTTTGGCCAATATTTTCGTTTCTTCAATCATTCCTTCCATTTGGATCTTTTAGAGTTTCTTTCCAATCCTGTGGAATAAACACAGATGAAACAAATAAGACAAAAACTCTGTAGGAGGGAGATAGAGAGTCATAGGAGACAAAATTAGACATAAAATATTTATTACAAGTTTTGATTCCTTTTCTAAGAGCAATGAGTTTATTGGATAATTCACAAGGCAAAGATGACAACAGTGTCTTTAGGAATTGAAAAAGATTTTTTACCTAAAATGGACTACATGATGATTTTTTTCTATCTTATCTCTCCTTGAATACCTCTTCAAGTCTGGTTTATCCAGTCGTTCACATTTTTTTCTTGAATATGATCTTCTGTTATGAAATTCTCCCCCTGAATATGATTGTCAAGAGTGACCAAACTAGACATCACCTCTTCTATTTCACTCTCCTCCTAAAGAAGTGTTTGGGTGGAGCTAAAGTATGGTTTAAATTCTCTAAAAGTAACATCCATAGTCACAAAGTATTTTTTAGATGGCGGATGATAACACTTGTAACCTTAGTAGCCGAGTATCCAACAAATACACATTTGAGATATCTAAGTTCCAATTTACTCACGTTTCTAGTATGAATAAAGCAAACACATCCAAACACTTTGGGGGCAATAATATAGGAATTTGTACCTTACAAAACCTCTAGAGAACTTCTAAAATCAAGAACTCATAAATGCATTCTATTAATAAGATAAACAGTTGAGAGAACAGCATCTCCCCAATAATTTTTAGGTAGATTTATGTTGAACATTAGTGACCGAGTTACCTTCAAAATGTGTTTATTTTTTCTTTCAACAACCCCATTATGTTCACTGGTGTAGGCACAAGTTGTCTAGTGAATTATCTTATTAGACACTCTAAGTAGGCATAAAATCTACTATTCATATATTCTGTACTGTCGTCTGCTCTTAAAATTTTAATTTGAGTATCAAACTGTGTACATACCATTTTATAAAATGATTGAAAGTATAAGAACACATCACTTTTAGTTTTCAACTGATAAATTCATATTAATCTAGTACAGTAGTCAATGAAAATAACAAATAATTTATGACCAGATAAATATGTATTTTGAGTAGGTTCCCAAACATCAGAATGAATGGTCGTAAAAGGAGTTAGACTTCTATGGTTACTCACATGATATGAACTCCTCTATTTAGCTAGCTCACATACATCGCAATAGTTGTGAAGGGTAATCCGAACTTGAAACCAACAATCTCTTTATTCCTGTCATTATCAAGGATGTCAAAATTGTTACAAACTGGAACCAGATCTGTTGAACAGCAAAAACAGCTCCAAATACAGCTCAAATCGGCTCCAAAAAATTACTCATATCAGCTTGGAAGCGGTTCACCTCAACAGCGCACGTAGGCTCCAGAAACAAATGCTATTTGCGTGCCAAGGGAGTGTAGATCGTGACCATGCGTGGCTGGGAGGACAACAATCGCACGCAACCACACGAATCCCAAAAAACTGATCGGGTCAGGCAGCAAAGTTGGATCTACGAAGCTATTCATGCGCAAACTAGTGTCTTGCGTGAACGGAGCAGCTCAAAATACGAACTAGAGAAGGAAATAGCATGAATAGCTGCAAGCAGACGAATCAGAATGCAAAGTAGAGGGTTGCATGTGAAATGCCACGTGAACCACTGTAGGCGAACGGAGCAAGTAGAGGGCTATGTGCGAAAGAGCAGATGGGTTGGGTACGCGAACTAGATGAGTTGAGAACATGAACCATAGAGCTGCCCGCCAAACGCTGCTCGAACCGCTGAAGTCTGGTGGAGCCAAGTAGGTTGGGTAGGGCAGAGATAATCACCAGAGTAGGGCGGCTAGCAGCCTGGTGAGACTCCCTCTATTTTGGGTGGCTAATGAGAAGATTTTGATAGAAACCCAAAAATATACCCTAAAATATTCTTAATCTGCTCTGATACCATGTAGAAATTTAGGAAAAAATATTTACTTTATTTCCATTATGTTTTTTTGTTACAAATGACTCATATATACAAAAAATTTTTAAATACAAATAAGAAAAATTTTCTTATAATAGGGATTTTAAATAATTATAAAAAATTAATAGT